AATGGGGGGGGGGGGCAGGGGGAGTCTTTCTGCACTATTCAATGACTGCAAGTAGCACATATATTTATAATATCTAAAATAGAATGAACTTTTTAGGATTGCTCAGAAAGACCTTTTACTACAGATATTAAAGAAACTCATCAGGGCATTTTTTATTGATTTTTCCCTATATGCAAATAGAATATTATGATTGGAGTCTGATTGCTTCTGAAGAAGGAATTTATTAGCTTTAGGAATGCAAACTTTGGGATGTGAGGGTGATCTGGCTGCGACATCTGTCACCCCATTGATCTCCAGGGTTGATTCCACTGGTCTGGCAGGCTAGGCGGGTGTCCCCTTCCTTCCTCCCTCACTGCTCCAAGTGCATCCCTCCTGAAGCTGCGTGCTCTGGAAGAGGACGACCTTCCCCAATAGAGGAGGAGCGTTCTTCCGTCAAGGGTATATGAGTAGCTGCGCTCCCCTGCTAGAACCTCCAAACAAGCTCTCAAGGAATGCAAACTTTGTTAACTAGATGATGTGACAATTTAAATGGTGACAGTTTAAAGTTATCAGTAAGATTACTTCTCCCCTTCCCCCGCCCCCCTCCCCCCCATATCACAGTATTGTTTTAAGGATTACAATAAAATATTTTAGGCCGAAAACTTCCTTAGTATCTTCTTCAAGTTTCTGAGTTTCTTCTCTAGTTGTTATCACTGTCCCTTATCTGTGCTTTTAATATATGAAATTTAACTGCACATATAGTTTTGAATTGTTCGGAAAGGTATTCCCAAGGCTACAGAAATTTTTTCTTAATTAAAAGAGAGGATTGAATCAAACCAAAGTAGCACAAGACTTGGATACTGAAAAGTAAAAAACATTGTGGAAAGAAATTAAGGAAGACCTATGTATATGGCGAAACATCCCTGTCATGGATTGGGGGACTCAATACTGTTAAGGTGGCAGTACTACCTTAACTGACCTACAGACTCGACACAATCCTTCTTACAATTTCAGCAGATTAAAAAAAAAAAAGGTTTTTTTTTTTTTGTGGATTGACAAATGATTCTAAAATTCATATGGAAATGCAAGACACCCAAACAAGGCCAAACAATCTTGAAAAAAGGAGAAAAAGGTTGGAACCCTGATAATTTCTGATTTTAAAAGTTGCTACAAAACTTACTACAGAGCTACATAAACAAGACAGTGTGGTTCTGGCATAAAGATAGACATATGGACCGATGGAATAAAACTGAGAGTCCACAAGCACTTGTATTTGTGGTCAATTGATCTTTAACAAAGGTACTAATACAATTTGATGGGGGAGCGAATAGTCTTTTCCACACAGGGTAGTGGGACAGATGGATATCCACATGCCAAAGAACAAAGTTGGATACTTAACTCAAATGCAAAAAATAACTCAGAAATGAATCGTGGATGTAAGAACTCTTAGAAGAAAATGTATTAGTAAATCTTTGTGACCTTGGATTAAGTAATGGTTTCTTACATAGAACTCTTCTTCAAAAAAGTTTTTAATGTTTATTTTTGGGAGAGAGAGACAGAGCATGAGCAGGGAAGGGGCAGAGAGAGAGAGAGAGAGAGAGAGAGAGAGAGAGAGAGAGAGTGAGTCACAGGACCTGAAGCAGGCTCCAGGCTCTGAGCTGTCAGCACAGAACCTGACATGGGGCTCGAACTCATGAGCTGTGGGATTGTGACCTGAGCTGAAGTGGGACGCTAACTGATTGAGCCACCCAGGCGCCCTATTACATACGACTCTAAAAGCATACGCAACAAAAGAAAAAATAGATAAATTGGACTTCATTAAAATTAATTAACTTTGTGCTTCTAAAGGCACCATCTAGGGGCACCTGGGTGGCTCAGTTAGTTAAGCGTCTGACTCTTGGTTTCAGCTCTGGTTTGTGGGTTTGAGCCCCATGCTGACAGCGCAGAGCCTGCGTGGGATCCTCTCTCTCTGTTCCTCCCCTGCTGATATACTGTGCTCGCTCTCTCTCTCTCTCTCTCTCTCGCTCTCTTTCTTTCATTCTTTCTCTCTCTCTCTCTCTCAAAAAATAAATAAACTTAAAAGCACCATCTAAGAAAATGAAAAAATACAAAGCCTGTAGAATGGGAGAAAATATTTGCAAATTATATCTGTGATAAAGGCCTTCTATCTAGGATACAAAGAATTCTTAAAATTCAATAATAAAAAGACAACCCAACTAAAAATCGAACAGAGAAATTGAATATTTATCCAAATAAGTTATATAAATGAGCAAAAAACACATGAAAGATGCTCAGCATCCTTAGTCATTGGGGAAATGCAAATCAACACCACAATTAGATAACACTCCAAATAGGAGGGCTAAAGTTAAAAAGACACACAATAACAAGTGTTGACAATGATGTATATGGAGAAATTGGAGCCCTTATACATTGCTGATGGAATTATAAATGATGCAGCCATTTAAGAAAAACAATTTGACACTTTCTTAAAAAGCTAAACGTAGAGTTACTATATGAGCCAACGGTTCCACTCATAAGCGTATGTATACCCATGAGAACTGAAAACAGGTGTTTAAACAAAAACTTACACATGAAAGCTCATAACAGCATTGTTAATTGCATCCATGAAGCAGAAAAAATCCAAATACTCACCAACTGATGAATGGATAAATAATACGGTACATCTCCACAATGGAATATTATTTGGCAATACAAAGGAGAGCAGTGATACATGTTTACAACATAAGTGAACCTTGTATATACTGTGCTAAGTGAAAGAAGCCAGACACAATCTAACATTCCATTGTTAGATTCTATTTATGTGAAATGTTCATAATAGTCAAATCCATAGAAACAAAGTAGATTAGTGGTTGCCAGGAGTTGGGGTAGGGGAAATGGTGAATGACTGTTCATGGGTATAGAGTTGCTTTTGGGGGGTGTTGAAGTGTTCTGAAATTAGTGATGATGATTATACACAAACCACCAAATTTCTCGCTTTAAAATGATGCATTTTGAGGGTCACCTGGCTGGCTTACCTGGAAGAGCATGTGACTCTTGATCTCGGGGTTTTGAGTTTGAGACCCACATTGGGTGTAGAGGTTACTTAAATAAAACTTTAAAAAATGTCAAATTTTGAGTTTTAGTTTACCCAGCTGCCCTGTCAGAGGAGGGCAGCAGACCCCCACTCCCTGCCACCAACCCTGCTCTCTTGGGTTCTGAACCTGCTCACCCACAGCCACTTCCTGTCACTCCTTCCCTCTGGAGTGAGGAGGGGACAGTGGGTATGAGCCAGAGGACAGGGGAGGATCGTACACATGGCCTCCGCTGCGTTGTGTGCAGTGACCCAGCACAGCTGTTGCCTCCTGGGGAGGAAAAAAAAAAGTATGTGAATTCTATCTCAATAGAGCTCTTATTTTAAGACAAAAAAGGATAATTTTATAAGTTTCTTAAAATACTTTTGTTTTAGATTTTAACTAAGATATAAGAGAGGAATGAATACCTCTTCATACCCTTTATATCACAAACTGTGTGATCCTAGATGTTATAGATATTAGAGTCTTGAAATACTAATAACTTGCTACCTTATCATCCAAATAAATATAAATGGGATTTTTAATTTACCTGTTCTGAACTTTCATGAATAACTTTGAATCTTTTTCCTAAGTATTATAGTATGATTGAGAAAAATAAGACATCTCTCTCTCCTTTTTAAAGAAAATATTTAAACTTAAATATAACTATATATAAAAGAAATGTCATTGTGATAAGAATTGAAAATAAATTGAATTCATGCTCACTTAAACATTTTTTTAATGTTTATTTTTGGGAGAGAGACAGACAGACAGACAGAGGGAGAACAGGGGAGGGGCAGAGAGAGAGGGAGGCACAAAATCTGACCCAGTTTCCAGGCTGTGAGCTCTCAGCACAGAGCTCAACATGGGGCTCAAACTCATAAACTGTGAGATCATGACCTGAGCCAAAGTCAGGTGCTTACCTGATTGAGCACCCAGGCACCCCAAATTTATGCTCATTTTAAAGTGTAGTCATGAAATAACATGCATTGATTTTTGTATTGACTAAGAATGATTAATCACAATATTCACAAATATCTGTGCTTTAAAATTAAGACTATTTATTTGATATTTTGATGTAAAAGGCAGAAAATAAATGATGAAGAATAATTTTTGGGAATTTGTTTTCATAAGTTTAAGCCAATTTATTTTATATTTTAATACCCTTGTATATATCCCAAAGGTGGTTGATGAATGGATGATATTTGTGTGATTCAGCTTTTCTCTTGATAATATTATTTTTAATGTCTAAGAAAACTTGTATTAAAAAAAAAGTTCTTTTTAACTTGGACTGTAAATATAGTGATTTAATTTAGAAGCCTCTTTTTCCTGACAAGTTTAATAATTTCTGTCCTTCTTTTCATACAGGATCTGGAAATAGTATATTCCTATTTACATGGTATGGAAGCCTTATCAAACTTGAGAGAACACCAACTTAGGTAAGTCATTTTACAATTACTCATACTGGGATGTGGGAATTTTAAATGATCATTTATTATGGTTAGGAAGCAGGATTAAAGATAACTTATGAGGGACACCTGGGTGGCTCAGTTGGTTAAACATCTGGCTTCATCTCAGATCATGATCTTGCGGTTGACAAGTTTGAGCCCCACATCGGGCTCCGCGCTGACAGCTCAGAACCTGGAGCCTGCTTTGGATTCTGTGTCTCCCTCTCTCTCTGACCCTCCCCTGCTCATGCTCTCTCTCTGTCTCAAAAATAAATGTAAACATTAAAAAAATTTTTTTTTAAAAAAAGATAACTTAAGAAAACTCTGCTTGATCTAACATTTATACTTGGCCTTATAAGTTTATATCCACATAATAATTTTCTTTCATTTCTGCCATAGTGATATCCTTTCTTCTTCTGTATCCCACTCCCTGCTCCTCTTATCCAAAGGAATAAACCCCACTTGGTGAATCCCCCAAAAGGAATGTTATTTGCTGTCCTGGCAAATGATCTTGTTAGCGTTCAGGTACATAAGAAACCAGAATGTTTTTAACCATTCAAAGAATGATTAGGTTCGTTATGTTATTATTATGTTTGGGTCTTTGTATGTAATATATTTATTGCATTAAGTTGACTGCCCTTTTTTTGGAGACACGTAAACAGTTTATTGGTACTATTGTGCAGTGCTACAGTAACCTCATTTATGGTTACCTGGGCTATGTTAAAAGATCAAAAACATATAATCCAGTGATTTTACCTCAACTGGAACAGAAAATCAAGGACCTTGGGAAGCTGGATTGTACATAAACCCTGGCTAGGACATATGAAAAGGTTTTGTTTGCTCCAACTATAGCTGGTTTTGGTACCAGCAGTTTTTAGTTATTAAGGGGCTACTTCTATGTATTTTCCTCTTACTGTTTAAACACTAATTAACTCGCAAGCATGTCAATTTCATATTTAGTTGTTAATTGAAAAAAGTGTCAAGAGGATTGAATACTTCTAAAATTTAATTTTTAATGAAAATCATTTAAATTAAAGTAGATTGCAGGTTAGGTGTTTAAAAATTCAAGTTTTATTGGAAAGGGCAAAACCATTGGGAATTTAGAAGATGGCTCAAATTAGAGCAAGAATAATTTCTAAAGTGTCTAACTTTCATTTTGTGTTTTTTTGATGACAACTATTCTAAGAGAAAGTCATAGTGCTGTCTATTTAATTAAATGCAATTAATAAGCAAATATGAGTGGCACATTCCCATGTGTACACACATGGATAATATTTACACATTGATTATATGTCTACAGTATGTGGTTATAAAATTATGTAGGTAACAGGAACTCTGTGTAATAGAATAAGGAAAATTTTAATACTTCTTATGGAAATTTTCAAAATTAGAAAAGTAAATAGTACATTGAAGTCCCATAAACCCATCACCCAGCTTTAGAACTATCAATTTTCCACTGTTTCAAAGGAAAATTTTGGTTAGAAAGAACTGATTAGTTCAGTGGTATAATTTAGCCTATTGACACCTTAGAAGGTCTATTTTGGAGACTGTACAGTTTTGTTTGTTGGCACGAACTTACAGGGAAGGAACTTTAAGATGTTTGTCTTATTCTGCTTATGTTGAAAAGCCATTTGTTTCTGATATTTATGGGAAACATCAACTGAATTTAACTTAGGTCCTTTTTTAGAACGAGATCAGGATACCAGCATGGTTAATAACAACAACAACAAAAGAGGTACAGATAAACCCACTGACTTAGATAAACTGTTTTATAATAGCTACCATTTCTAGGAAAAATAGATCTTATTTAGATATTTTAATTTCTTTGAATTTTATAAATAAAAGTTTTATTCCTGGGATTAACAGAGAACAGTTAAGGCTTCCACATAATACAGAGTTGTCCAATTTTAGGAAGAAAAACAGGTCTTCGTCAAGATTTTGAAAGTTTGTATATTCAGTATTGGCTAATAGAACATTAGTCTTCTATGATGGATGGGAGGGGCTCTCATTTATCTGAAAGCTTCAGCTTTATGCATTTTGTGGCCTATCCATTTGTAGGCAATAAGGTGATTCTGAGGGTTAATTGGCATGCAGTTAATTGTGTTGCTGTAAGATCACATATTCTATGCAGTGTGCAGGTTTTCAAATCTTAAGAACTATATATTTTTTCACTACAATTTTATTTTTCTAATGTTTACTCCCTTAATCCACATGGGTAGAAGCAGTATATTTGCCAAAGGGGCAGAGGATGCTATAGTTAGGGATGGAGGCCAAAAATCTGAAAAAGCAGAATAACTATCTGGGCCTATTCAGTGTTAGAAATAAGAGCCTGCTAAAATAAACAAATAAATAAATAAATAAATTCATATTCTTTAGCATTGTGGATAAGGGTAATTATTGTTATCTAAGCAGTGTTACTTATTTTTAAATGATTATTTATTTTGAGAGAGAGTGCACACGCACGAGTAGGGGAAGGGCAGAGAGAGAGAATCACAAGCAGGTTCCATGCTGTCAGCACGGAGCCTGATGTGGGGTTCTGTCCCAAGAACCATGAGATCATGACCTGAGCCCAATCAAGAGTTGATGCTTAGCCGACTGAGCCACCCAGGCACCCCAAATAAACAGTTTTAGATCATTAAGAAACAACTAAATTATGCTTACTGTATTCTTGAGGAATTCAGGGAATATCAGTGTGCTTTTTATAAAACATTCTCCAGCAATGTTTAAAGACAAAACCATTTTTTTGTACTTTTTTTCATTTATTTACAACATTGTCTTATAGAAGATTGTATCATGGTTTTCTGAGAGCACTGGTTAAATTTATATATTTAGTCAACAATTATTGATTGTGTGCCTGCTATGTGCTGGACTTTGATGTAAGCCATGGAGATATAGCATTGATACCCTTGCCATCGTGGAGCTTATATTCCTGGTTGGGCAGACAAGATTTAGGTAAATGAATCAATGTTTTATTCACGTGTTAGTGTGTTCAGCATGGCATGTAGCTGTACCCCAGCAGACTCCAAACCAAGTGTGGGTGATAGTCTGGTGAGGCTGAAAAAAAGACCCAGAGACATTGATGGAGACGTAAGTTTATTGAGGGAACTTATATAGAGGGAATCAGGAATGGCAGACTGGACAAAGCACCCGCTGCTGGGATCCACATGCAGCAAGGTTGTATAGCGTAGCAACTTATGCTAACAACTGTCTGTAGCCCTTCCCCTCCTTGTGTGGCCAGCATTCCAAGGAGCTCAAAGCCCTGCCATTCAGACACTCTGTGTTACAAAGGAGATGCTTTTGGTTGGCCCCTTCTGGAGCCCCTGACCTTGAACTTTGAACAACACATTCTTCTACATATTCTGCTTGATAGCAATATAGAGGGAGGACTGGATCTTTGCATTCTCAAGATAGTGACTAACGGGCATTCAGGATGTGCTGGTACAAACAAGTCTTCTAGCATGTACCATATACTCCACCCAGGCATGCCCTGGATGGCCAATACATTCTTTATACGCTCTTGTTTCTCAATGTCCCTGGGGCCACCTATGCCGAGGTGCATTGCAACCAAATCCCACAGCAACAGCGTAGGCCATAGCTTCCGAATAATAGGAAAACACAAATGGCTAAGCAACTATAGAAAACATTTTGCGGGGGGAAGCCTGCAGTCACCAACAGGGAGAGTTCACCATATACTCAATAGTTGGTCTTACTCTGTATGGAAGCTATGGTCTGGGCCCAGTTGGCAAATAGGTTCCCTATGCAGAATTTAAGGGTGAAAAGTCAAGCTGTTCAGTAGGCGCTGGAAGAGGCAAGTCATGATTGTCTAACAGAATGCGGGAGGTGGTGGTGTTCTGGGATTGCACTACCCCTGACTGGTTTGGCTCCAGGTTTATAGTACCCAGTCATTGGCTGCCCCTCTGTTACATGATGGGGCAAACCTGAAAAGGATAGTGGGGGTCTAACAGTGCTCTATAAGTTGATTATGATAGTGTCCTTTATTTTTTTTTTTTAATTTTTTTTAACTGTTTTTATTTTATTTTTGAGACAGAGAGAGACAGAGTATGAACGGGGGAGGGGCAGAGAGAGAGGGAGACACAGAATCTGAAATGGGCTCCAGGCTCTGAGCTGTCAGCACAGAGCCCGACGTGGGGCTCGAACTCATGGACCGTGAGATCATGACCTGAGCCGAAGTCGGACGCTTAACCGACTGAGCCACCCAGGCGCCCCGATAGTGTCCTTTCTTAATGAGAGGCTGGGGTTGTGTGCCTTCATTGTCTTCGGTGGAGTGGGGTGAAGAAATGGGGTGATGGTTAGGTCCTTTCCTATTCCTATTCCCCATTGGACCAAAAATCCAAACCACTGTGGACTTGTTTGCCATTTCCAGGGCCATTTAATTATATGTTCCCCTGTAGATAGATCTTGTGGCAAGGACAATAAAAGGTTACCTTGTGTTCCTACCTATGGCAGAGAACATCTTTCCTGCCTGCTGTCTACTTGCATTCTAAGGGTGACATCAGGTCCTTGAGTGAGTACAGTACAGGCACTGGACCGATTGGAATGTACCTGTTCATTTAATGTCCTACAGCTGTTGACAGGTGGCTTGTCCAGAGGGCCAGTGAATGGTTTCTTGTGGCAGTTGTTTTGACGGTCCACTCACACGTCCTGTCAGTCCAGCTGCAGTGGGATTGCATGGTAGATGCAAATGCCAACGGGTGTCTTGAGTGCTGGCCCACTCTTACGCTTCATGTCCTGTAAAGTGGGAGCCTTGGTCGATGTTGATGTCAGTGAACACCCTGTAGGCAGCACACAACTGTTCTGGACCACGGACGGTAGCTTTCTGGTTAGCACGCTTACTGGGGTGGGCTTGCAGGAGTCCTGAATAAGTGTCAGTATATATCAAAGAATAACAGCAGCCGTCAGGGAAGGGCAGGGGACCGATGCCATCTCTGACATCTCTGAAGAGGGTGCTGCCCCCTTGCTATCTGTCCAGT